TCCTTGACCTTTTCATGGCTTGGCTAGAGTTTGGTGTGGGAGATGAGATGCATGCGTGGTGCGGCTGGTGCCATTCGGAGTTGAATGAACCTTGGACAGCACAACACGTACGTACGTACTGTCCTACTCGTGAGAGATTTTCCCCTATCGAACTAAATTCCAAAGTCTCGTGGCAGCTACGCCAAGAGAATAGTCACTGCGCGTCAATTAGTTCCGATGGAGGTTCTATATTTGGTGTGGTGTCTTAGCATCGAAGGAAAGAATTCACCACATACATATTCGTTAGGCGAAAAGGGAAATTTGTCATATCAATTGCCAAATCATCAATCAATCAGCAAAAGTAGTAAGAATACATGCAGAAGAATCGATCGGCTTGAACAAAGAAGGAGATGTGTGCTTTGAGAGTGACTTCACGGGAATCACAGCGTCCGCCTTACGCAAATCCTCCTTTTTTTTCCTTGTTAGTTCCCGCCAATGAGTCCGTGGATTCGCCTCTCCTTTGCCTGCCGCTCCGGCGGTCGGTGGCGGAGAGGGTATTCTTGTTACCTCGGCTTATATAGATAGGGTTTTGGTTCTCGCAAGGGCGCCGCTCGGATGGATGACGGTGCTTCTTTTTCGAGCCAGTCTTTCGGGCTCCGATCCTCCTCAAGTTCGTTCCTCGGAACGGATTAGATGGAACTCCGGCGTAGATTCCAGCCAACTCCTCGGAGCGGCAAGGTTAGAGTTTTTTGGCGTGCGTATGCAACGGCGAGATTTGGTGTCAGGTTCTTCAGATCGATTCAAGGACTCAATGACGACGACTGCGGCTACCGAACGCTGGTCCTAAGGGGCACGTGTTCGAAGACTTCCCAGTTGTTATCGATAAGGTCTAGCCGGCTCTGGTGTGGGAGAGGCGACAGCGGCACGTCGGCAGCTCATTCTGATGGCAGCAATGGTCGTTCGGTTGTCCATGGATGTCAATGTAATTTTTATTATTTTTTGGGGTGCTTTATACTTCCGGTGAATCTTTATCATAGATATGATATTTTTGCAAAATAAACGTTCTCCTTTTTTGTGAAAAAAGAAATACCGTGTTTTTCCTTATTACAACACATAATATTTCTATTTTTAATAAGTTAATACAATTAGTAGCAATATTCTTTTAAGAAACAGTAAAAACAAAATATTAATTCAAGATTTACGGAAACAAAAAAAAAACATGCTATAGGCCGTGGTGAATGAGGCCCATGAAGAAGCGCTTCAAGGGTTAAGATTGAAAAAGGAGCACCTCTTGCCAGCGGGAGCTATGTCTCGCATGTTATGAGACGTAACCCCTGCAATTTGCCAACTTTTGGCGGTTTAAAAAATAAGTTGTCTTCTTTCAGCTTTTTCTATAAGCCGCCTTCCTCATTCATTGGGACTTTAAAACTAGTTATGGAATAACTAATTTAGAAACCTTAATAAATTTTGAGAGTGGCTTATTTATTAGGGGAGAGGCAATTTATTTTGAAAGCTACCCAAAAGAACTGGCTCTTAGTGTAGAAGCGAGGCAAGTTATTTTC